ATGACAGTAATATTCCCTATGAACCCTGATCCCCATTTCCTCCACCATAAATATAAATCAGAAAGCAAGACCTACCTGAGGTGGAGCATACTTTAATATGGCTGCTCCTTTTATGGTGTGGCATGTCTCTGGAGTTTCATTAATGGTAAGTGCTGATGTCTGCTGCAGCTCCCACACATATAGGGACCTCTTATTTATTGCCACAGCATTCAGAAGTGGATTCAGTGGATTCACAGCACAAGTGTGTTTTTGAATCCCTGCAGTAACATTCCGTGTATAAGATGACCCCCATTTTTAGACTAAACAAAATTTAGAAAAAAAACAAAGTATTTTACATGGAAAAATATGCGAATTATGCATTTTTTAGTTGGAAGTGTATATAAAAACAGCTTGCAAAACCTGCAGATCTCGTCTGCTGCCTTTGCAAGCCCTAAAAGTTCTAAGACTTTCTGTGTTTGTCCAATCATAGATTTCCCAATGCTTCTCATTGAGAAGGCTTTGCAAGGTGGGTGATCTGGGCAATTGCTGCCTCTTGATTTCAGTGCAATAAGTTAAACAAACCAGGAAGTAGCCAGATCTGTTGTCTGCTTGAAATTCTGGGGGTGTAAACGTGTCAATTTCTATTGCATTATGCACTTTTTGCAAAATGAAAAAGAAACAACACACTCTTCACACATAATGGTTTTTTACCAAGTTAAAGTGCTTTAGGGGTCTGGAGTGCCCCGTTAAGCTGTTTAGCTTCAAGGTAAAGGAATAAGTTCTTTACAAAGTCATAAAGAGTTAATTAAATAGCCCTTTCGGGAATATCTCTTATATGAAGATTGAGGGGATGTTTTCCCTTCATGTACTTCCATTAATGGAGACTTTGCTGCTGCTGCTGCTGCTGCTGCTGCTACTTGATAGAGCTATGACCTAATGTAATGTAGAATCTGACGTCTAATCCTCAAAGGAACACTCCACTGCCCAAATACAATTTTCACTGTTTAGTATAACCCAAATGAAAACATGCATGCATTTAACTATATTTTTTTTAATTGAGGTTATCTCTATAAATACAATACATACAAAATAATAGGTGGAGCTGTAAAATATCTTGAATAATCTGTAAGACAGAATAAATGCAAATAGCGTAGTATGTCTATACAATATAATAAGTTGTAAGAGTCAGATGGTTAAACTCACAAGACTAGAGTCATACCGTCATATGACTCTAAAAGTATGCTCCTTTGGACCATTAGGGGGTTGTCCAAACCCTTCTTTCGTTGGTTCCTCCATGTTCCCCCTTGTAATCCTTAAAACGTCGCCCAAGGAATGCCCAATATGCAGGAGATCCTTGAATACTGATATTCGTTTAATTGTAAAAAAAGATAGTAGTAAAAGTAACAAAAATAATAATTCACTATACCAATAGATATTAGGTATAGGTAAAGTCCAATGCAAGTTAAAATATGAGTGTCCTAAATGCGTTGCGCCTGATTAACAGGCTTCCTCAGTTGGCTCTCAGAGGAAGCCTGTTAATCAGTATTCAAGGATCTCCTGCATATTGGGCATTCCTTAGGCGACGTTTTAAGGATTACAAGGGGGAACACAGAGGAACCAACAAAAGAAGGGTTTGGACAACCCCTAATG